ACAGACCTACCAGCTGTCTACGAATACACAGGTCACAGGTTCAACTCCCGGGGTCCACACAGATACTGTACATGGGTAAGGTGAGGTCTAGGGATCGAAGCCTGGCATTGCATCCGCTACTGCTAAAGGTGAAAACCGTTTCAAAAAAAAGGAACCAAAAAAAAAAAAAAAAAAAAAAAAAAAACCGACTCTGTTTATTTTGTCTCACGTTACCTTTTGTTTCTTTGTTCTCCTCGTCACCTCCAGTGTCCGCGCGTTTCCACATAGCACACCACCAGGACATCGTGCAGTCCTTTTGCCCCCTTCCCATGGGGCCACCAGCTCCCTCCCCCATTGCCATGCCAAGCCTTAGCCGAAACCCACAAATCGCGGCGCGTTAACGGCCGCCTCAAAAAAAAGTAGCACGGCCAGGTACTGGTGGTTTAAGGCCCCGTATTCCTCATTGCATATAGCTTTCTTTCTGAAGGGCCCCCAGCAGAGAATCTGCAGGGCTCTTATATCTCAGCGGAGACACTCGACGGATTTCGGATCAGCGAGGAGCAGGCCAGCAATATATCTTCTGGATCCGAATTCAGGTCTTTGTTCCAGCAGTTATGGGCTATAGCTAATTACTGCTGTAGCTCTCTTTCTTTCTTTTGTTTTCCTTTTCCTACGAGCAGTGGCCCCAAGGGCCTGTCTCCACTCGTCACCACTTGCACAAAAGAAAAAACATATGGCGGTGTATGATGCCATGTTCTAGCAGAAGATCCATTCTAGTTTTGCACATTTGTCGAGTAGTGGAGGGAAGCCCTGAAAATCACGTGGTGAGTTGGCCTGCTACTGCCCAGATAATCACGTGCTCCGTGCTCCCATAACTGCTGAAACACCATCCTTAATGCGAGTCTACACCATATATAGTTAGCGTCCTGCTGCCGTGCTGCCCTGCTGCCCTGCAATGTGTTCGAGAAGTGCCACTTTTGTGGAGAGGAGGCCCTTGCTAATTATTTGCATGGGCCTCTAGGATTACCCACAGGGGTGTTCTGCCTTAATGTTAAAGGGCTA